GTTGTTGCTGCTACGAAATATCCCTTTACTGGGTGTATCTTTTAAATATCTCAGAATGCGAAAAGTTGTTTGCTTGTGGTCACTGGTTGGGGAAGTAAGGAACTGACTCATTTGATGCACTGCATGTGATGTTTGGGCATGTATTTATGAAGTAGATAAGTTGACCAATGAGACATCTAAACTTAAAAGATTCTTTGTTGTTCAACTTCGCTCCAATGTTAGTAGTGAAATGAGTAGAATGTACCATAGGAGTGAAGACATGTGCACATCCAAGCATTCCAGTTTCTTTAAGCAAATCCAAAATATATTTTCTCTGGAAGAGATGTATCCCTGTCTTATTACGAGTCACTTATAAACCTAGAAAGTATGTAAGATTACCAAAAAATTTTATTTTGAAATTTTGATGAAGAGCCTCAGTGATACGCTTAATTTCTTCAGGGTTATTTCTAGTAAGCACGATATCATCCATGTAGATAAGAAGTGGAGTAGTTTGATTCTCAGAATGTTTCAAGAAAAGTGAATGGTTAATTAAGGAAATAGTATAACCACAAGATACAAGGAATTGGGACAATTTTGCATACCACTGCCTATTTTAACCATAAAGTGATCTTTACAACTTGCAAGCCCGATTAGAAGTTTGTAATCTTGGGGGAGGAATCATATAAATTTCTTCATAGAGATCTACATGAAGAAACACATTGTTGACATCGAATTGTTTGAGAATCCAATCATTAATGACAACAAGAGTAAAAAGACAACATAAAGTTATTAATTTAGCAATAGGAGAAAATGTGTTGGTGAAATCAAGACCCTGAAGCTAGGTATATCCTTTGACAACCAAACAAACATTGTATCGCTTGATGATGCCATCAGAGCTATGTTTAACTTTATACACCCAATGACAACCAATAGATGTTTTATTTGGGGGAAACTCAGTTAAAATCCATGTTTGATTAACATGTAGGACTTTTATTTCTTCATCCCTAGCTTTTACTCAATGTTTATGTTTAGAGGCTTCTTCATAAGAATTTGGTTCAATGACACAAGATATAGATATAATAAATTTTTTATATATGTAGGAGACAACTCGTCATATTCAATCTTCTCAAAGTTGTACTTATTGCGAACAAAATGGATATGAAGAGAATATTTGCTACAAAAGAAATGGATTCCTAACTAATCAAGGTAGTAGAAATTTGAAAAGTAACAATAATAGAATTTGCATGCATTGCAGGAAGAAAGGACATACTACCGAGATGTGTTATTGAAAACATGGATACCCATCGGGACATAAAGTCTCAAATAACAAGACCAAACAAATTAACGGTTGCTTCTCAAGATAACACTAATAAGATTCAAAATGGCCTTGTTATTGGTAATTTGTGTATCACTTATCAACAATAGCAAACCTTGATAAATCTTTTGTAGCAAAATTGCAGTAGTAGAACTGATGGTCAAGCACAAATTAACCAAGTTGGATCCATATCAACACAAATTGATTAATCAACAATAGGTAATGTTATATCCACTTGATTATCAATTAATTAAGCCTATTATTATTAAGTTACCTAATGGTCAACATGTTGTTGTTGCTTATTTTGGATATGTCAAATTTAATCAAGATTTTTGTCTCACATATGTCTTATATATACTTGGTTTTTCTTTTAATCTAATTTCTATTTTCAAGTTGAATTCTTCTTTGCAATATGAATTGACATTTTTCTTAAAATGCTTGCATTATTCCATTATCTATTTTAGATCTAGATATGTAGAATGACAATTTAATTATTTTGTGTCTATCTATCATTTTATATAATATTTCATATAAAATTGTTAAGACGGATTGTCTGATCAGTTTATCCTATTCTTACAGATCAAGTAAAAAGAATCAATGATCTAATCTGATTTATATTTTAAAATTGATCATAACTTTTAGTTTAGTCTAACCTTATATTAAATTAGTGGGGTAAACGAACTAATTTTAACCTAACTAAAAAAAATTGTTAAAGTGTTTATAAAAAAATATTTAAAAAAATATTTTTAAAATTTAAATTTTATTAATAAAATTAATTTTTATTTAATATATAATTATAAGATAATCGATGCATTCAATCCCAGACTAAGAGTTAAAAACTTATTCTTCCTTATTATTGTTATTAATTTTTAATAATTTATTAATCTAAAGTAATAATTAATCTTAACTATTGTGAAATAAATAATTATTAGGGACTTAATATGATATTTAATAAGAAAAATTATCAAGTTAATTTATAAAAATATATATATATATATATATAATAATATTATTTTTAATTTTATTTTAAAAAATAATTATTCTATAAAATGGATCACTCTATAAATCTATAAATTTATAGACTAGTTTAACCTAAATCTATAAATATTATGATCTAAAGCGTTCATACTAAAATATGTTTAATTCAATTTAAATCATAAATATTTTAACTTAAAAACATTTTATATCAATTTATTAAATTAAATCTATTTTCAGGTCCACTTGTCTAAACCTTACTTATAATTCTTTATATACTATTTAATGGTTTAAATGTTTATATAAATATTTACACGTTACTAACCAAATATTGTCTCACGTGTTTATGACGTACATTTAGAGGTGCCAACTTTTTTAACATACCATATTTCCACCATAGCTTTCATTCATTATTATTAAAAATTATATATACATAGAGAGGGGTTAAGTCATCAACCTACCGCATAAAAGGAATGAGGTGGAGTTTAACCTATTTTATTTTATAAAATTTTAGACGGCAATTCAATTGATATATATTAAATGAAATACTATATAATAACAATGAAATAATACTTTATAGTTTGAGACTAAAATATAAGCTACCAACGCTATAAATAAGTTAAGGCTACGAATATCAACTAACATATAAAAAAAATTCTCAAGAAAAAAATGGAATGATGAGATTTAAAATAATGGTTGGATTTAAGTAGAAAATGATAAATATTTTGTTATTACTTTATGAATATGATAAATCTTATTTCACTTTTTTTGTTTCTTTCTCTTCTAGTCTCTCTTTATATGGTACAAATTTTGATATGCCAAAAATGATGCAGAAAAAAAGGAACCAATTGTGAGGAAGAAGAAAGAAATTGAAAGAGGGGGTGAAGGAGGTATCAAAGGTTATTTTCTGATAAGATAAGAAATATGAAAATTTTTACAGGTGAATTGAATCAAGATATATTATGTCTGCAAGTTTCGTGTCAAATATTTAAAATGTGATACAAGTCAAGTCTATGCGTTTATGCTTGAGAGACTTTTGTTGCATACCATGAATTAGCATGTGACTTTTATTAAAAATTTTTTTTTATCATATGTCATGTGAAATAGGTTTGACATATGGTACCACGAGATAATAGACACTTTATTTTAATGTCAAAATAAAACCTGAATATTTTTTTTTAACTTCTTGTTATTTATAATTCTTCAAATTTCATTTCTAAAACTATCTTCAAAAATTAAAGTGATACTAAATCATTCAGAACTCAGCACTCTGTACTTCTGCTTACTCTAAATTTTGTGAAAAGAATACCTTATTTATCATGTGAATATTTATTGAATTGATCATGAGTAATATTTTACTTTTATGAAAATCGATAAAATCGAGATCAAATTGCCATCCCAAGAAGTTACAACGTTGGCCATACAAGTGAAAAATTGTCCTTCAATTAAAATAAATGTGAATTCTCTCTTATAATGTTAAAATAATCTATTACGCTACAAAAAACCCTTATTCTTTTTATCTTCCTCTTTTGCAGATACAGCTCCTTATTATATAACTTGTACCTCGAGTTTCTGTGTTGAAACATCCTTTTGCTTTTGCCATTTGTACTTGTGCTTTCCGAGACAAAAGCTAGAGATGCAATGCAACCGATAATTGATCACAAAGGCTTTTTGTTCTTCCGACAAAGCAATGTGTGGGATCAAATTTGAGCAGCATTTATGAGCAGGTGAAAATTGTTCCACCAAATTCACAGGAAGCAGATTCCTTTTCTTTATATTTCACTAACTTCCGTTATCATAGTTTTGTTTCTCTCCTCTCTTTACTAGCATGTGATTTTGTTATATAAATTGACATTACAAATATGTATAAGATTAAACAAAAGTTAAAGATATAAATAGTACTAAACAAAATATAAATATAAAGATATAAAAGTTTTTCAAATAAGATACCTTATAGTTGAAAAAAAAAACATGAAAGGAAAAAAAATCTCACTGAAGTTGCTACAAGTTGATTGGCACATGCGTTTGCTTCTACTGCTCACTCAGTTTACCTCGAAGCCTAATCGGTTTCGTTGCCTAAAAGGAATGAGTGACGAATGAAACCAGAATAAGATTGCGCAGAAGATTTTGCTTACAACCTTGCGATGGTTTACAATGTTATTACATTTTCCTGATAAACCTGTCATCCTGATTGACTTCCTTCTGCAAATGTGCTGTTCATTGAAGAGTACCTGGGAGGCTTTCTAAACTGGAATTCTATGTTGGAGAACAATAACAAAATACTTAAAATGTATTTGAGTGCATGAAAATTTCCAGCAACTTGTTTTGAAAGAGCCACTGGTAGTAGTCCACCGTAACAAGTAGTGAGCACAGGGTATTGGATGTGGTTTGCAACATAAATCTTAGTCACTAGATAGCTGAAACGGCAACTTATTCTATCCCAGAACCATCACATGACAATGAACTTCTTGTCAAAGCTTTCATAAAATCAAATGTTTACACGAGAATTCACAATGGAATGTGCAAAATAGGAGGAAGGTAGGAATGTACATGTAAACGAAATTACAAGATAAAAAAAACATAAAAATGCCCATCTTTTGATTTCCTGTTTTGGGTGAGAAAGCCCTTCAAATGTTATTAAGCCACCACTACATGGTGATAAATTTCCTAAACTGATATATGCCTATGAAACTTTGTCCTTTTTTCCAACCTCCTGTTTCATGCACGATCATCAACTATCTGCAATCCTTGCACGTGCTTCTCTATATCTGCGCCTCCTACCAGAACGACCCAATAAAACTCTGCCACCACCATGGCGGTGGAGACGACTAACCAAAGATACACCACCATCATTACCTTCATCGTACCTGTCATCATTATCATTCTCTTCATCTGAGATATCCAGCACGGCAGTCACATTCTGATCTGCAACCCTGTTGGTGGTCAGTTCAGGCCTCAGCCGTCTACCAAGGTTGTTAAGTTCATTTCCTTGCCTAACTGCATGCAACAGGAGGAAGAAATTCATTGCCTCAATACCCATCTGAAATCTTCCATTTCTTTCTGCATTACCTGCACCCTCCTCTTCATCTGTATCAAATTCATTATGGTGACCTTCTATAACATAATCTCCAAAAACTACGGCCCCAGGCATTGCTGATGTTACTGTGCTGATAACATCTTCCCTTTCACGTTCCCACTCAAGCCATCTCCATTTCTGTTCGTCAGCAGGATCCACCATCCGAGGGCGTGCTGAGGGATGCTCTGCCCGAACATGCCTCCTCAACTCCTTATAGTTCCCCACATATGAGCAAGCATCCTGCATGCAGCCTCTTTTCTTTGCATTGAGGTAGTCCCGAACATGTTCCACAACAGTCCAACCTTTCACCTGACCCCTGCATAGAGGACACGCAAGCTCTGTGGCTTCACTCTTCTCAAGAGGCAAGTTTGAATCTTGTAGCACGCCTGGATTGCCTTCCATAGGTTGCCCATTAGATGAAATTACTTTAGTATAAGCTTTCTTGTACTGATCAAGGCAATTGGAATGACGAAAGCTAGTTCCACACATATAGGGACGACAACCCTTGTCATGAGAAGAGCAAAGAAGAAGAACAGCATTGTGTGGATATTCCATGCACACAGAACATGTTACATCTTCCCACTCTCTCATTTCCAAAGTCTTAGAACATTTCTTTTGGCACAAGTCTTCACAAATATCCCTTTTGCAAGGAGCAAGTCGGTATGGAGTCACTCTGTAGTGACGAGAAGCAATCCTGTGCCTTCCCCTGCTACCTTTTGCCATTTCGATATTTCAACAGAACCTGGAATTTAAAAGTCCAATATATTATCAAGGAAACTGCATAAATGGATCCAGACATTCAGTTGCCAAACAACAAATGCATTCATATATTTTTCATGTACCAACAGAAAGTATTGCAACTCTGTGTGTCCCCACAATGCTTGTAAGTGTTCATATAGAAGGGATTACAAATGATGACCAAACCAATATTTCTTCCTCCAGGGAAAAAGGGGGGGAACAAGGTGCAAAAAGAATAGAAAGTCAAGTTCCCCACAAAATCCAAACAAAAATGAACAGAAAACATAGTTTTTCCACACATTCCAAAAACATGTATTTGTTCAATATTTTTGCAGTGAATCCCAACCCACAGTAAGAACATGATGTACACTATCTTCATTTTTTTTAAAATAATATATATTAGAAAGGGGAGAGAGCACCCTCATTACAGAAGATATCATCTACATAGAAGGGAGAACTTGGCTTCCTAAGATGCCTACAAAATAAGTCCCCTCATTACAGATAATGTCACCTAGTTTTGTCTCAAATTCAATTCATTATAAAAGGTGATCTGACCCTCACTGATCATTGTGCAAAAGACTTGTTACCATGTTTAGTGAATAAATTTATTGCACCAGAACTTACATTTCTACTCACTAACCAATACAATCAGTGCCTAACCATATGTTTTGAGGGGGGAAGGGGACCATGAACAAGATATGTCAGTTTTACACAACGCAATTCTTCAACAGTGATATTACTAGAAACCGAATTGTAAAGAATCATCAAACAATCATCAAAGAATCAAAACAGGTTATTTTCTTGTTCAAATTTCACTGCGTTACTTTTCTTTTATGTATTCCAGGTCATGCTACAAGGTGCTATCCTCTAACCAAACTCTTTAAACTATTCCCAGACTTCCAAAACAGTAGCTGAAATGTAAAGTCTATTCAGCTATTACAGAAATAATAGCAACCCAATAGTTTGAACAGGCTCTATTATTGACAAGATTTTCTTGGAAATAACAAAATTTTGTAGGTCTTGACAGGGTCTATTTGTTTCTAAACCCAATAGTTTGAATCTATTATTGAACAGTCTAAAGATTTTATAGTTTTCAATAAATTTTAACTAATAGTAGAGAGTGCATTAAAAAGAATGTGCTAGAGAGTGTCTTCCTAGCACTCCTCTCGGTTATTATACAATAAATGGCTGGGTTTAGAAACAAATACACTTGTTCATATTAATGTTATACATCTATATACATATACCAAAAAGTAATCCCTCCATCCCCTTGACTTGTCCATCTATTGTGATCAGCTAGTTCCAAAAAAAAAAAAAAAAAAAAAAAAAAAAAAAAAAACACCAAGAATAAATGCATGCATAAGATTTAAATGAAACATAGTAATTTGAAATTTGAACATCTCATTGAAACTTCCAAATCAGCAGCTGCAAAATTGAAATACCCAGTTCACACTTTACTCAATTAACATCCTTACCGTATACAGAAAGACAGGAAATAAAGAAAAATTATGTAATTCAGGGTCAAGGCCTTTTTCACAACAGTACAAAGGCATCTCTGATAGCCAAACATTAAAAACCATTAACTGGATGACCAAGCCAAAATTATAATGGCAGCAGACAAATGAAAGGCATCGAGAGATAAACACATATTGTATGATCAAGTCTCGAAGATAATGACATGATGCTCCTCAATACTAAGGCCGAAACATTCCCATGTACCTTCGCACAATTAATGCCAAAAAGTTTATAGACAATTAACGAACCTCTTAACCGTAGATTAATTTACTCATAAACTATAACAAACGATATCAATTCTTGGCAGCAAATAACTTGGAATGAATTTCCTTTGGCTGTGGTAATACATCACAGCATGGACCTGCAAATTAACAGTACTATTGCAGCTATCTGAACTAGATCTAGCACAATCCATTATTTATTTTAGATAAGAGCTTCATTATATAAGAGAAAGAATAAAGAATTAGCTGATGAAAAAATGCCATGGAAAATGAACTTTTTTATCTAAATCAAGGATGCAATATCAAAGTAAACCATATTTATTCCTATTTTGGCAGTGTTATTATTAGACTTCGAAAACAGTTCAGATAGGTTCATGCATGGTCCACGTCCCAGGAGACCAAGTGCATTTCAGTTAGGTTAACAACCCAAAGAATACCACACCTCAATTTAGCCTTATATTAAGTTGCCGCTAAAATTATGACTGGCAGTCTTGGGTCACTAGCACATTAGCATATGGCCAGATAATCAGCTCTGATAATCGAGTCATCAAAGATTTACAAAATTCATTTAATTCAGAAAACTCTTACTAAAAAATTGACTTCAGAAAAGTTAACAAGAATGGGAAGAGTACATATTCTATATGACAGAGCTAGGGAAGAAACTTGCTATGAATTAGACCAACTCAACAACGGTGCTCGCAGTATGTAAAAAACATAACAAAGCTTATAATTGAGCTTAAAGAAACATAACAAAAAATATTTTCTTAAATCAAGCTGAATACAAATTAACACATGTCTAACCATAAATTAGTCAACACATCGAAGAACAGGTACATGCCCCAGTGGACTAACCACTCAAAACAATTAAATCACATATAAAACAAAACAGAAAGGCAACTGCTGAAAACAATGTGAAGAGTATAGATTCTAAATGAGAGAGCAGGGGAAGAAACAAGCTCTGAATTAGACCAACTCAACAATGACGCGTCATTTGTAAAAAACATAACAAAGCTTATAATTGAGCTTAAAGAAACATCCGAAAAAAAATTATTTTCTTAAATCAATCTAAATACAAATAAACACATGTATAACCATAACTAGTTAAAGAAGCCTCACATTCTGATTGCTGAAAACAAAACATGTCATGCTTCAAACCACCGCAAAGGATAAGGAAAAACTCACCAGCTCAGAATCCGAGTAATGTAGCCAACGTACTAGTTTGCAAAACCAAAGTGCACCTGGCAAAAAATAATTGAATTTAGACAGCAAGAGAGGAAACAAAGTAAGAGATTTATACATATAGTGTGAGAAGGAATCAACGTGGTGAGAGGCTACAGCAAGCAAAGACAACTAACAAAGCAACATTAATATTATATTTAACCGGAACATGGAGCTAAGATAACAAGCACATGTTGCTAAACTTTACTATCCATCTTATAGATCAAATCAACCCACTTAAAAAATAATTTTATTTTGAAGCTAAAAAAAAGGGGAACAAAACAAAACTGGTCATCTATTTGAAAACAGAGAAAATGGAAGTTCAAGCAAGGACAGCGAATTAGGTATCTATCTTCAATTGACAGTTACAAAATACTAGGTTATGTTAGCAAAAACAAGAACGTTGAGATGTTAATGAATCGAAAACATAGGCAAAGGTGAAAAGTATTAAACCTAAAAGAAATGAAACAGAAGCAAAATTGAAAAGATGGAGGAAGTGGAGGGATAGTGTTGGTGCGTACCGAAACAGCTAGGAAGAGAGTGAAAATGGAGGAAAAGAAAGAGATTTTGAAGGGATAAACAAGAGAGAGAAAGGAATAAGGTTCTCTAGCAAAGGCGATGGAATCGAGAAGGAAATGGAAGGGAAAACAAGTTTCTCTCTCATGTTCTTCTTCTCATGCTTTAGAGAGAGGAAATTGAGAATTGCAAAGATTGAGTCATTTCTACGCATCCCTCCCTCCTTTGCTTCTTCACGTTTTCACCCATCCTCTCTCAAACGCGCGTTCCTCCAGCAACTGTCTCTCACGCTCTTCTCAACGTGATGACGTGCCACAAAGTGCGCCTTCTCGTGCTCTCTCACGTTACCACAATGAAGAAGAACCCGGCATATTCCATTCTACCAATTTTTTTAACTCCCCTCGAATCGTCTTTTCTTTTTTATGAAAAATTATAATCAAAACATAAAATAATTGTAATATATTCATATTTTTTTAATAATTAGAAAAGTTTTATAGGTTTACCTAAATTCGCATGTGATTGGATAAGATTGATTTATTAAAGAGTGCAACCATCAACCTTTTATTTTATAATTAAATTTTAAAAATATTATACTTCTCCAACTCATGTTTATTAAAATTATTAAATTCATTTTATTATTTTATTATATATTATTTTATTAATTATTTTTATATATTATTATTTTATATAAATTATTATTTGGTTATTATTATCTTGTTTAATTATTTTTTGAGTTATTATTTGATTTTTTTATATTATTATTTTATTAATTATTTTTAATATGTTATTATTTTGTATTAATTATCTTGTTATTATAATAACAACTTATTAGCTTAATTGAATATAAAAAAATAAATAGACATTTCTTTCTAAAAAAATCTCAATATTATATTTGTTTAGAAGAAAAAAAAATTATGATTTTACAAAATGACAATTTTTTTAAATACGTTCAAAAAAGTTAAAGATCAATTCGTCAGATTTTATTACAACTATTTTAATTTATTAATTATTTTTAATATATTATTATTTTATATAACATATTATATTAGTTATTGTTTTTTGAGTTATTATTATTTAGATCTTATATAAGGAGATTTAATTAAGGAGAAAATTTATCACTCTTTCCAAATACATTATTTTCTTGTTTGAGAGTTGATTTCAGCGTTGAAGTGTCTTTTATAGGTGGGTCTTCACTCTTTTTAAAGAAAGGTACTTTCAATCATCTTGAAGTCTCAACTTAAAATTTGATATGTCGATCTCCTTAATCCAACATCATATATTTTTGTCGACCTCCATTAGCTTATTAAAAACATTTGGCTCCTACCCTGGGACCTTGATAAAACGATCATTACGATTTGTTCCTTTTTATGATCTTAACCCAAAGTTAGACAATCTCAATTACAAGCGATGACATGAATTTTATAACCATTATCAACAGTCTCAAGAAACATATGGACGAATGTAAACAAAATAATCATTAAGAAATAAATAGTCTATAACAACATCAAAACGACA